GATGGTGCTGAGGATCACTAAGGCATCCTGCCAAGGATCTCTTGAGACCTGTAGCCCTTCCTGGCAGGCTGTGAAACACAGACGGGGAACCTGTGGCTTTCCAGGTGTTGTTGGACTTCCAAGTCCCATCAACCCAAGCCAACACGGCCAGTGGTCAGGGATGATGGGGCCTGGAGTTCAACAAGCCACAGGTTCCCCATCTCTGCTGCAAAACAAAACTAGGATAGATATTTAAATAGGTAGTGCCCTGAATATAAAAGTAAAGAAACTGTGTTCAAAGGATAGCATGCCATGACTGAGTTTCTAAGGATGCCCTGTCCAGCGCTCTAAGAATATTCTCTCAAGTGGTCTGAAAACGTCTGATTCTGTGGTGATTTGAGAAGAATTAATATGGTGCTTCTCAAACTCTTTTAAACTTGCTCTTCCTTCTGAGCTCACCACAACCAAGTGTTTGATGGGTGTGTAAGAATTATCCAGTGCCTCCATGGGCAATCCTAAGAACCTGCAGAGCAAACTAATATTAAAAATGTTGACATTTATTTATTTATTTATTTATTTTCCAAGTGAATTTTTATTGTTTTCCTTACATATTCTTTTCCAACAAATTGTAATAGCACCATACATTCCCTTTGACTCTGCCGAGTCATGACCCCCCTCCCTCCCGACAACTGGTATATTTATCCTCTTTCCATCTCACACTTCATTCTCAAATTAGTACTATTATACATTGGAGGTATTATGTCAATCCTGCTAGTGTCTTGACCTCTTTACAATTCTTTTTTAAATATTCAATAAATTTACTCCAGTTATTTTGGTATCTTTGATCTCCCTGGTCCCAGATCCTCCCTGTCAGTTTGGCAAGTTCTGCATATTCTGTCAACTTCGCCTGCCACTCCTGTATAGTTGGTATATCTTGTACTTTCCATCTTTGGGCCAGAAGGGTCCTCACGGCAGCTGTAGCATACATGAACAAATTTTGATCTTCTATTTTAATTTCTGTTCCTATTAAGCCTAATAGACACGCTTCCGGTCTTTTGGGGAAAGTATATCTAAATATTTTTTTGAGTTCATTATAGATTGCTTCCCAAAATTTTTTTACCTTATCGCAGGTCCACCACATATGGAAATAGTCCCCATCTGCCCTTTTACATTTCCAACACTTTCTTTCTTTTTTCCTATACATTTTAGCTAATTTTACTGGCGTCAAATGCCATCTATACATCATTTTTAGCAAGTTTTCCTTTAAAGCCATGCATCCTGTGAATCTCAAACCCTCCTTCCATAATCTTTTCCACGCATCGAATTCAATGTTATGTCCAATATCAATTGCCCATTTTATCATTGATTCCTTTACTTCTTCATCTTTTGTATACCATTCTAGCAATAAGCTATACATTCTTGATAAAATTTTATCTTTACAGTCTATTAACTCGATTTGGAATTTCGATTTTTTAACTTCAAACCCATTTCTCTTTTTGTCTTCCTTTAATAAATCGCTGATCTGATGGTATTGCAGCCACCCTGTTAACATCTTTTCAATTTGTTCGTATGGTTTGAGCTTTATCCCTTGGGCTGTTTTCCTAGTAATATCCTCATATGTTACTCTTTCCCCTTCCATGTTTACTTTTGTTGTTGTCAGCATCTCAATTGGTGATATCCACCACGGTGTCTTTCTTTCAGGAGGTTTTTATTCCGATCCCATACTTCATATAAAGATTTCCTAATCACATGGTTTAGAAAACCTTTATGTACCTTTACTTTGTTGTACCATAGGTACGAATGCCAACCATATCTATTATCATGGCCCTCTAAGTCTAATAGGTCAGTGTTTTCTAAGGTCAGCCAGTCTTTTAACCATACCAAGCACGAAGCTTCATAATATAAAGTCAGGTCTGGTAAATCAAAACCTCCTCTCTTTCTTATCTACTAGTATCTTCATTTATTTATTTTAATTTATTGACTGATTTAGTTATTTGAATTTGTATATCGCCCTTCATCCATAGATCTTAGGGCAGTTCACAAGATAAAAATACAAGATGAGAAATACAAAATGCATAATAAAAACAAAAGCAAACCAATAACCCCCGTCCCCCAACACATTGAAAAGGGTACCGGATGTTAATCAGCCAAAGGCCTGGTCAAAGAGGAGCACAACAAACAGAGCAGATCTTTTCTCCAGAAGACTCTTAGTTGCTTTTCCTGCAATAGGCTCTCCTGAGTACCCCACCAGAGGTGGTTGGTTTCTCCAGCTTTCAGATTTCCCCCTTGGAATTTCAGGTGGAGAGACCAAGAGAGACGCCCCCAGCCACAACTTGTCTTGTGGGTCACTCTCGAAATTCTACCGCTCTCGAACTCCTTGCCAGTTTCACACTCAGCTTTTACACACCTGCTGAAAACCTGTTCAGGCTTATGCAGGCACCTAAGAACACATATTTCCATAATAGTGAACTGATTTCTGCTGTTAACTTCTTTATTGCATGAGTTATTTGTTTATTTTAATTTTTTTTGTATTATCATGGTGAGCTACGCTGATATTTTTTATGAATAGTGATATGGAAATATTTTTCTAAATAACAGCAAGCCTTTGGATTAGTCTCGTCTGTTTTGTTTTGTTTTTTGCTGAGTTTGAAGGTGGTTTTGACTTGCTTAATTTATAGATTGGCATCTACCTCCGGGGTCATTCTCAATTAGCTGCTACATCAAAGCCCACAAAGCCTAGCCCTAGGGGAAGGGTCAAGGCTAGGTTGAGGTTGGCTGCATCAAGATCTCTGGCCTTCTTAAGAGGCCTTTGCTATGGAGCAGGCAGGAGCTGTTGGAAGAGAGAGGGCGAGGAGAAAAGGCGCAGCAGCGCCTTCTCTGCACTTGGCAGAGCTGCTGCAATGTGCCGTTGGACTGCGCCATTGAAAATGTAATCATTGGGCTCTCCCCCACGTTTTTATCATCTCCTCCCGAGTCTTATCTTCCTCCCCCATGTTCCTTCTGCCACTCACTCTCAGGAAATGGTACCTATAAAAAGTTATTTCAATGAAGCGTGGTGAGATAAGCAGCAAGGAACTCTTTTTCAAACGTCCAGGGGAGAGCGTCAATACTCGGCAGTTACAGGGAGAAAAATGACAGTACAGTGTTGTTGTTTTTTGGGGGGGCGGGCGGGCAAGGGGAGGCAGAAGCACTGTGTGAAATTGTTGACCGATGTGTCCTCTGTATTCAACACTAAACGAAAGAAAAAGCACATTTCACTAAAGTAATCTAGGGAAGCTCAGTTCCGCAAACTATGAATTATGTCGCTGCAGCAAGGGCACATGATTTATATCATGCATTTTGCTATGCATTCGCTAGTCGTAGGGAGGGCCAGAAACGAATGTGGTTGTGTCTGTACCATACATTTAAAGTGTACTCTTGTACCACTTGTAACAGCTATTTCTCCCAAAGAGTCTTGGGAAGTGTAGTTTGTTAAGGGTGTCGAGACTAATTAGGAGACTCCCTAACAGAGCTACAATTACCAGCACTCTTAGCATACTACAGCTCCCAGAATTATTTGAGAGAAGGGGAGCCAAATGTCTTTTGAAAACCTTTTTGCTTAGAACTTTACGCCATGATTTTTCTTTTTCTGTATTAATTTATTTTTAATGAGGTTATTACGGGTCTTCTGTTGCTTTTCATATTTATACATTGTACTCTTCCTTGCTATATTTTTTTGTTAACATGCAGATTATGAATTTGTAAATAATTAAATATATATGGAAACCGCTGGGGGAGGTCACCGGGAGATTTGGAATGTGGTGTCAGTAGTAGGCTGATGATACCCATCTCTATTTTTTGTTATCTTAAGAATAAGGGGAGTCTCTTCAGGTGTTGGGCTGGAATGGACTATGAGGGCCAATAAACTGAGACTAAATCATGACAAGATGGAAGCATTGTGGGTTGGTGATTATTGGATCCAGGAAGTGGGTAGGCAGCCTCTTCTGGATGGGAGCCTAGGCTCCCTGAAAGAGCAGGTACATAGTCTATGGCTACTCCTTGATCCACACTATCTCTGGAGGCTCAGGTAGCCTCAGTGGCACAGTATGCTTTCTTTAAGCTATGGCAGGTTCACTAGTTATGGCCATTCCTGGAGGGAAAGAAAGAGATAGCCTTGCTGTAGCAACTCAGGCTCTGGGAATGTTCTGTTTGGATGACTGTAATGTGCTTTATCTGGGGCTGCCCTTAAACATGGGCAGTAAACTTACATTGACTGGGGCAGCCAGCTGAGATAACATCAGTCCTGAAGGACCTTTGCTGGCCATGTCTTTGTTTCTGGGCTGTATTTAAGGTGCTGCTATTGACATATAATGTCCTAAATGACTTGGAGCCCAGGTATACGAAAGAATTCCTCTCCAGTATGCAGTGTTCGAAATTAACCAGTCGCCAGGCGCATTTTGCACCTGGGTATCAGCCACTTGCAACCAAGTGAAGATGCTTGGGGGCCAGGATGGTGCCTGACATCTCCACCATCTGGAGATGTGTGCCTGGGGATCATTGAATCTTGACTGTTTTCACACCTGTTTTCACATCCTGTAGAATTCTATCCCTTAGATTTTATCTATGCAATCAGAATGAATCTCAGGAACCAAAATGCTTTTTCTGTGCAGCCTGAGCAGGAGCAGTGAACAACGTTATAGTTGATTGTTGTAGCTTGTCTTCACTTACCCAACCACACTGCCCTGCTCATAGTTGTGAAGAATATTCTCACTTTATGGTCTGTGTCACTATTACGAAAAAGAGGTAGGAATAGGTCAATATATAGGTGGACTGCCCCTGGATCAAGTGACTTTTCCTCAAGTTCTTAACGCAGCCCCCTTAAAAAAAAAGTTGCCTCTTTTGGATGATCAAAAAGCCACATGTTTTCTTCTTCTGTCTAGGATGAATTGTGCTACTAAAATTTGCCTGCCTTTGCAGAATTGCAATGAGAGGTCTCTTTGGGTACCACTGCCTGTGTTTATGTTTGCCTGTTCCTTCTGCAGTAAAAACCGGCTTGTGACTGTGGTGCCAAGTGATGCTCCATTCAATACCAGGAGGGCTTACACGAGTGAAGATGAAGCCTGGAAATCTTATCTGGAAAACCCCTTAACAGCAGCTACAAAGGCTATGATGAGCATCAATGGGGACGAGGACAGTGCAGCTGCTCTTGGATTACTGTACGATTACTACAAGGTAGGGAGTTCAAACGAGGGTTAATCAAGCTGCACTGTCTTCTGGCTAAATTCAGCTTGTGTTTTATGACCTATAAAGCCCTCGGTGTCTGTCCTGGGGCCAACTTATTTGAAGAACTGCCTCCTCCTGCATGAATCTGCTCACTCTCTGTAGTGGTCATCTGAGGTGTTGTTGTCCATCTTTCTACCTCTGGAAGTTTGCTTCGCCTTTCTGGTAGTGGCACCGAGGTTGTGAATGTCCTTCTTATGGAGGCCTGGCTAACTGCCTCTCATTTAGCCTTTAAGTCCAGGAGTTGCTACCCCGTGGCCATCCAGATGTTGTTGGATCATAACTTCCAGCATCCCTGACCATTGGCTTCACTGTTTGAGACCAAAGGGAGTTGAAGTTCAGCAGCATTTGAAGGGACACAAGTTAGTCCACCCCTGCTTTAGATGAATAGCTGAGATTTTAAAATTTCTGCCAGGGTCTTGGGTTGTATTTCGTTTGCCTTGATGCTCTGGATGGTTTTTAGTGTTGCTTTGCTTTCATGTTTTGTTTTGTTTTGCTGTCTTGTCATTCTTTGATTTTATTGTATGCCAAGTGTATATTGCAAGGTGCCTCAAAAGCTGGGATATCTAAATTCCTAAATACATAAATAATAATAAAGTTTGGGCTTTTTGCTTACAACTGGAAAATATTTTCCCCCTTTTCTTTTTTGATTGAATGTCAAACTGCACATGGTGCTAAACATGTCTTCAATTTTTTAAAGTTTTGTTGGGATTTTTTTTACTTTAAATACCAGACACTGGGGGGGGGGGGAGAAGATCAGGAGTGGGACCAAAGTGCATGGGTTTTAAATACCCTTTCATCCTGTGCCATGGTCCCAGTAATTGCTCCTCAAACCGTAATGTAGCTCTGGTGCTCCTGTTTGGCATCAAAGGGAGTATCCGTTCCACACCAAGTGTCACCTGGGGGTTAGTTTTCATTGGGACCGCAGCATAGGAGGAAAGGATTAAAATTGTCTCCCTGTGTGCCATGAATGGGCCTAATTTAGTTTTCTTCATTTCAGTGGGTCTATTCTTGAGTAAAAGGGACGCAGGTGGCGCTGTGGGTTAAACCACAGAGCCTAGGGCTTGCCGATCAGAAGGTTGGCGGTTCGAATCCCCACGATGGGGTGAGTTCCCGTTGCTCGGTCCCTGCTCCTGCCAACCTAGCAGTTCGAAAGCACGTCAAAGTGCAAGTAGATAAATAGGGACCACTCCAGTGGGAAGGTAAACGGCGTTTCCGTGCGCTGCTCTGGTTCACCAGAAGCAGCTTAGTCATGCTGGCCACATGACCTGGAAGCTGTACGCCGGCTCCCTCGGCCAGTAAAGCAAGATGAGCGCCGCAACCCCAGAGTTGTCCGTGACTGGACCTAATGGTCAGGGGTCGCTTTACCTTACTCTTGAGTAAAATGACAGTCACATCTAATCTGGACCCCCAGTGATTGGAATTTAACATAACATAACATAACAACATAACATAACATAAAACATAAAACATAACACATAACACATAACACATAACATAACATAACATAACATAACATAACATAACATAACAACATAACATAACAACATAACAACATAACATAAAACATAACATAACATAACATAACATAACATAACATAACATAACAACATAACATAACATAACAATGTAAGAATAGCCTGCTGGATCAGGTCAACAGCGCATCAAATCCAGCATTCCTTTCTCACAGTGGTCACTCAGGTGCCTTTGGGAAACCGTCAAGTAGGATTCAAGCATACAAGCACTCTCCTTTCCTGTGGATTCTAGCAACTGGCATTTGGAAGCGTTGCTGTCTCCAACTGTGGTGGAAAAGTACAGCCATCATGTCTAGGAGCCATTGGCAGCCCTCTCCTCCATCTTTTAAAGTATAAGAGAGAGAAACACATAACACTAACAGATGTGCCCAGTGCTGTATGTTACTTTCCCCAGAAAGTGTGGGGAAACTTCTTGTGACACCTTGCTTTTTAAATTTAGCAGGTCGTCAGGGAACAGGGACGCGGGTGGCGCTGTGGTCTAAACCACTGAGCCTAGGCCTTGCTGATCGGAAGGTCGGTGGTTCGAATCCCCGCAACGGGGTGAGCTCCCGTTGCTCGGTCCCAGCTCTTGCCAACCTAGCAGTTTGAAAGAACGTCAAAGTGCAAGTAGATAAATAGGTACCGCTCTGGCGGGAAGGTAAACGGTGTTTCTGTGCGCTGCTCTGGTTTTGCCAGAAGCGGCTTAGTCATGCTGGCCACATGACCTGGAAAAACTGTCTGTGGACAAACGTCGGCTCCCTCGGCCAGTAAAATGAGATGAGCTCCGCAACCCCAGAGTCGTTCACAACTGAACTTAATGGTCAGGGGTCCCTTTACCTTTACCATTTTACAGGGAGTAGATAAGATTGCTTTGAGAGTCAAATCTGGCCCAGCTGGCTAATCTTACCCCCTGCCGTCGCATAATGTGAATCCTGTTGTTTCAGGTTCCTAGAGATAAAAGGGTGTTGTCTCTTAACAAAGTGAATGATAATCAAGAAGACCAAGATAAAAGGTACAGTATTATATTATTATTTTAAAAGCACATCAATAGGCTGCATCTAAGTGGGGTGGGGTGGAATACTTGCTGGAGTACAAGTTTTAAAAAGTAGCAAGACGGCTTATGGTCAGGGCTGGGGTCAAGGTTCACCATGGTAGGGCACCCACATTGGGGTCCACTAACAAGAGCCTCCTGGATCTGCTCCTGTTTACCATACAGTATTAATATTGTTTATTTCATTTATGAATTGCTTCCTGTGAAGTATCTCAAAGCAATTTCGCAACACAACAAAAAACATTTATAAAATAGTTGCATGTATAAAAGCAATGAAAACAATTGCATCTTAGGGATCCAAGCCAATCAGCTTAAACAGTATGAAACGTTATGTGTTAATAACTATTACAGTTCAGATTACGGGTTTGTTTGTTTTTTCATGTTTTTTTTTATTTGCATATGCCTTTTATTCAACTTATCTCAGGGTGGGTAACAGTACAATTAAAAGCAATAATGCTCCAATATAAAGCCATAACAATATAAACATGAAGCCAGAAAAGTGGAATCTTATTTATTTATAGCCCATCTTTCTTCCAAGCAGCAGAGGTTGGTCCATGGTTCTCCCTGTGCATGTGTCCACACACACATAGACACACAGAGAGAGCAAGAGAGAGAGCAGCTAATACTTCCCTCAGAACAGCCCTATAAAGCTGAGAAAAGAGTAAGACTGACTCAAGGCCACACAACAAGCTTGATGGCCAAGTGGGGATTTGAATCCAGGGCCTCCTAGTACTAGTCCAGCACTAACCACTGCACCACATCGGTTAACCGTAGTTACAAAACTTAGCCCATGACCTTTTATTCACATTTCTTTCCCCAGAAGTTGCCTTTCCACCAGTGAAGCTCAGAGCAACTTGGCCAGCGGTGGGGAAAACAGAGTCCAGGTTTTGAAAACAGTGCCGGTGAACCTTTCTCTGAATCAGGAGCAGCTGGAGACTTCGAAAAGGGAGCAGTTCAGTTCCAGCGTATCCGGAAGCCCTACTTCCATTTCTGTGACGGGGGTGATGGTGGTGAAAGCAGAAGAGTACACCCCTGTTTACGTGGCTCCATCAGCGCATTACGCAAGGGGAGAAAATGAGGAGCACCGGAGCGTTATATTTGAGCATGCGCATTACGAGGTGCCCAGCATCATGCCCCCTTCAGCCTACCTGAAAGATGACCAGCGGAGCACTCCCGATAGCACTTACAGTGAAACTTTCAAAGATGGAGGGGCAGAGGTATGTCTTTCGGTTGGGCTGCTGTGGGTATGGCAGTACTGACCAACAGCACAACAGCACAATCCTAACCAGGCCTATTCAGCAGAGGAAAAGCCCTATTGAATTCAGTGGGGTTTCGTAAAGGTAAAGGGACCCCTGACCATTAGGTCCAGTCGTGGACGACTCTAGGGTTACAGCGCTCATTTCACTTTACTGGCTGAGGGAGCTGGCATATAGCTTCCGGGTCATGTGGCCAGCATGACTAAGCCGCTTCTGGCGAATCAGAGCAGCGCACGGAAACGCCGTTTACCTTCCTGTCAGTGTGGTACCTATTTATCTACTTGCACTTCGTGCTTTTGAACCGCTAGGTTGGCAGGAGCTGGGACCTCACCCTGTCGTGGGATTCGAACCACCTACCTTCTGATCAGCAAATCCTAGGCTCTGTGGTTTAACCCACAGCACCCAGGTAAATAGGATTAGGATTGCAGCCTTTCTTATTCTTTTGTCAGCTGCATAGATGGACAGCAGATTTTTTAATATATACCTTGTTTAGATCCATAGAAAAATAGTTGAGCTTGGGTGTTCTCAAAATCATAAGCGACTCATGAATCTTAGTCCCACTGTTTTCAGCTAACAGGCTGGAGCCAACTTGTTATTTTTATAAGAACTGCAAATGCCAAGCTTAAAAGAGGCATTCCCTCTTTTCTGCCACAAAGAAGGGATACATCTCCTGCCACAAAGAAGGGAATACCTCTTCTGAGATATTCTTGGGCTTCACATGGAAAACAAAGCCTATTTCTGGCATTCAAAAATATTGGCCATGTTTATATCTTAGCATGCCCTCCAGAAGCCAGCTCACTTCTGCTTTGCTCTTCCCCAGGCTTTCAACTCCCATGCGGCATGTCACCCAAACCAGGGAATCGCGATTAAGGTCCTTCTTCCTTAATCGTGATCTGTAAGCAAGGTTTGTCCTATGGCTACAGATTGTAGATCAGGTGGAGAAAACCAGGTTGGACGACACAGTCAGCCAAAACTTGGCTTAGCTGCTGCACTGCGATGGGGTTAAAAGCCCAGGGAGCGAAGCAGAGGCAAGTTTGTCTCAAGAATCCTGGACATTTGCATGGTCACAGTAGTAAGCCCCCCTTTGGCTTACTGTGGTGTGCAAACGAGACCCTTGTTTTAGCCATATGCAAATGTAATTAATAAAGTACCTGATTAACCGTATCAGTAATCCTTTGACTTTTAAAACGCGAGCAATTTGATTTGAAGAGATTGGATTTGATATCCCACTTTATCACTACCCGAAGGAGTCTCAAAGCGGCTAACATTCTCCTTTCCCTTCCTCCCCCACAACAAACACTCTGTGAGGTGAGTGGGGCTGAGAGACTTCAGAGAAGTGTGACTGGCCCAAGGTCACCCAGCAGCTGCATGTGGAGGAGCGGGGACGTGAACCCAGTTCACCAGATTACGAGTCTACTGCTCTTAACCACTACATCACACTGGCTCTCACATTTGACTCTTTTGATGCACATTTCCTCTTTGTTTTCCAGAAATACCGCAGTGGATCTGTGGGGCCTGAGGAATACATTTATGAACAAACAGCCAAGTAAGTAACAGCAGCGCACTGGACTCTCGTGGCTTGCATCAGGTGTAAACAGAGGGCATGCAGGGCCCATCCTTGGTGGCTACTCCCGTCATCCAGGAAAGTGTGATGGTCTCCTTTCAGCATTCCTTCTTTTTTCCTTGTGCCTCTCTCACCAGCTGGTGGAGGTATCAAAATTGTTAAGGCACTTTCTCAACGAATAGGAGGCTGAAATTTGGTACACTTGTCCTTCAAGGCACAGTTAGTATAAATAATGCTGAAAATGTGGCGTTATTAAAGCTCTTGGTCTTTCATTTCTCAAGTCTGTGTTGTGACAGTGGCCATCACTGGTGCACTTAATATTTATTTATTTAAAATACAGTGGTACCTCGGGTTACATACGCTTCAGGTTACATACGCTTCAGGTTACAGACTCCGCTAACCCAGAAATAATGCTTCAGGTTAAAAACTTTGCTTCAGGATAAGAACAGAAATCGTGCTCTGGTGGCACGGTGGCAGCAGGAGGCCCCATTAGCTAAAGTGGTGCTTCAGGTTAAGAACAGTTTCAGGTTAAGAACGGACCTCCGGAACGAATTAAGTACTTAACCCGAGGTACCACTGTATCTACATCTCTTCTTTCTGCAGTCTAGATTGCAGTGCATGGTACAGCTTAAAATATGCAACCGACGTGTAGATGAACAACCATAAGATGAGCTTATCGACAACAGAGGCAGTTAAAAAGTGGGCAAAAACAATAATGAAGGATGCTTAAAATGCCTAAGCAAAATAAATGCCAAAATAAGAACAGTGGATGCATTATTCACAGGTGTGTATCCTGCAAAGCTCTTTCACAGCCAGATGCCACCCCATCAGGGAGAAGGGTGATGATCAGGCAGGCTCTATTCCCATGATTGCGTTATTCACACTCAGGCCTTTGGCTAGAACAATAAACTTTTAAAAAAAGGGTGTGTGAAATGTGCCTTAGGAAAGCATTCTGGTTGGCCATGCTAACATGAGAGATAGCAATGTAAGGATAACCTCTCATACCTCACCAATGCAACATGAAGCTGATTATGAGGAAATGATCCCCCCCATTGGCCAAAAAACCTTCATCTTCAAAGAACCCTAACACAGCGAGGCAAAAGGTTTAAAGCCTTACAATTTTAGGACCTTCCTAGACAAAAATGAATTATTCCCTTTAAAAAAGGAGCAAAATTTGAATCCAACACCCACTAAGATTAGAGGGAGCATTTCTGCTGATTTTGAATTACACTGGCTTCTTAGACCTTGCAGCCAGGTAAGAATAAAATAATATAAATTTGGAATTGCTCTCTGTATAACTCCTCCTACTCTAGGGCACGATCAATGGGATGGAAGAAATTTCCCTTGTGCTTTAGGAAAGAGATTACAATTTTGGTCAGGTATATTCTGAGTTTTAAGAACATTGTCAGGAAAGTCTGTTCACAAATAGCAGCCGAATTTGCTATTGCCTAACCCTGTCCGGGCTTATGCTCCAAACACTACGACTGAAGCTCTTACGTTTAAGTAGGAAAAGGTTTTAGGAATTTGTGCTCCAAACCTTCCTGAACTATTGTTTCCTTTAAAGCATTAAAACTGAATACTTGGATTTGAGAAAGGCAAGGCCTCACAAAAAGCATGTGAAGATCAAGTGTCAGTTTTCAGCAAATCAATTGTGTTACTTTTAAGAGCTTGTTTGTTGGTTTGCTTGAAAGTATTTCTCACCCGCTGTTCATCACCACACAGCTATCCAAGGGCGGGGCCCAAAAATAGGTAAAACCACATCAATAAGTCTCATAAAACAGGGCGGCTAAAACATCAAACATTGCCAAATATAATACAGATTAATACAGATTAAAGCTGCTTGCCAACTGACCCGGTACTAAACCCCTACAAAGGCCTGGGCAAATCAGTAGCCCTTAGACTGCTGGTGAGTTCAGAAAAGTTGGCACCTGCTGCATCTCTTGAGGGGAGGGCATTGCATAGGTGGGGCACCGCTACAGAGAAAGCCTTTCCCCGAATTAGCAGATCTGCATTGGCTGCGGCATAAGCACCAGAGCCTCCCATGATGATCTTAATACATGGTTATTTTAGTATGGTTGGAGACATTCCTATAGGTATTTACGTCCCAAGGCTTAAATAAAGACACCCCAGTCTCAGTTCCAAAAGGAAACACAAACCCTGGGATCTCGCACCTCTTGCCACTATATGTCACCTTAGCTCTGGGCCTGCCACAAACCCTTGTAGCATCAGCAGGCTGCTTATTACCTTTTCGCCTCTCTGACGCCTTGGGGTTGCAGTTTTTGCGTGCTCCTTTTCCTGTAGCTGCAGCATTTGTTCAAAGCTCAATTTCTGTCCTAGCGGGAGTGACAGCAAGTCACTGTGGGGGAGAATAGTTAGGGGTCACCTCCCGTGGCTTGCGGCCGCCGTTTCTTGTTCCTCTCCAGCCAGTAGCGGCATGTTGCCTGTTGGTGATCAAACGTCACACAAGCTGGTTTCTAGGAAATGCAGTACTAAAAAGAGAGAAAGTTTTGATTCAGTTGTGTAATATTCTGCATTCACTGGACTCCTGCAGCCCTTTTCTAACATCTGCTGTGCCAGGGCATTGATGCTCAGAAAGGGGTAGGTCAGCAGTTGCATAGATGAGGCTGTATTTATATATATTTATATATACCTAAGTGGTACTCAGAATATCACTCAAGAAATCACTCAAGATATCCCTCAAGTAATTAAGGAACAAAAGAAGAAAAGGCACACTAGCCTGGGAACTTCCTCTCTGCCCAGAACATTGGAGGCTATACACCACACCCCCTCAACAGTATTTATAGGAACCCAAACACTGAGATCCTGCTCTGTTCCAGTAACAAGAAGCCGAAAGCACCAGCCTGAAGATGACGAGTGAGACCTCGTCGAAACGTCGCCTAGACACCCCAACTTTTACACGGGAAGACACCCGAGGACACCAAAACCTACATATATATATATATATATATATATATATATATATATAAAAAAATGCCCACTTTGGCTTCTGTAAAAGAGACAACGCAGTAGTACGGCAAGAAGCCCAGGCGTTCCTGTTGAAAACAGGAGTGTAAATAAATTATCCATAGTAAATAAATTTCCCCTGAAACCATAGGAATATAGGAATCTGCCTTATTCTGAGTCAGGCCATTGGACCATCTTGCTCCATATTGTCTACACTGAATGGCAGCAACTCTCAATGCTTCTTAGATTATTACGTATATATTTATTTTTGCTATGTGTGTGTTTAGTGGTGCACTGCTTCAGAAACATTTGTTGGGAAGCAGCTTATAAATCTGCAAACAAACAAAAAAACAGTACCCCCCGCATTTCTTTATAAAATAAAATAAACACATCTATCTATGTAAAAATACGGAATGCAATAATAAATCACCCTGGGGATGGGTGTGTGCTGTGTTTGCTTTGTGGCCAATAAATTCCTCCTACAATGCCATTATGACAACATTACAGGCTCTGACGTAAATACCATGGCAGTTACCTAGACCTTTTGTTTATTTTTGTTTCACTTTTATTCTGCCCACACCTCTCCTTCCTCCAAGGCGCTCAGAATTGTTCTTCTTAGCCTTGCATCTCTTTGTGGTAAGTTAGGCTGAGAGGGAATGGCGGCTGGTTCAAGGCCACCAGCTGAGCTTCATACCTGATGGCAGAGCTGAATCTGTATTTCCCATTTCCAAGCTAGCTGTGCCAGGCTAGTTCTTGAACTGCGGCCATTTATATGACTCCATAAAAGCCTAATATCTGTGTTTTAGAACTCAGTGGCTATTGTTATTAATTCTGCTGGTGTTGTGTTCTAACTTTCTTCACATAGCAGCACATTCCGTTATACTTTGGAAGCGACCAAATCCCTGCGTCAAAAGCAAGGAGAAGGACCGATGACGTACTTAAACAAAGGGCAGTTCTATGCCATAACTCTGAGCGAGACTGGAGACAACAAATGCTTCAGACATCCCATCAGCAAAGTCAGGGTACGGCTGGTCTTTATCAGATTGGTAATTGTGATAAACTAATGGCGCTTTGTGTGTGTGTGTGTGTGTGTGTGTGTGTGTGTGTGTGTGTTTGTGTTCACCCTGCCTCCAAACACACTTTGTTGACACGGCCACTCATTTCTGCCAACAGACATACGAAGCAGTCAGCTGAAACAGGTTGGATCTGCTTTTTTCTTTAAAAAAAAAAACAGAACTCCTCTAGCAATGTTTAATGGACTACTAAGTTATCTTCATTCCCATTTGTTTATTTATTGGAACAAGATCATCCTTCAGTTTAAAAAAGCTCCTAGGGCAGCATACAGTGGTACCTCGGGTTACAGACGCTTCAGGTTACAGACTCCACTAACCCAAAAATATTACCTCAGGTTAAGAACTTTGCTTCAGGATAAGAACAGAAATTGTGCTCCGATGGCGTGGCGGCAGCAGCGGAAGGCCCCATTAGCTAAAGTGGTGCTTCAGGTTAAGAACAGTTTCAGGTTAAGAACGGACCTCCGGAACGAATTAAGTACTTAACCCGAGGTACCACTGTATAGTCCTGAACAGTAAAACAACAACGAGACAAAACATTTAAAAGTCCACAGAAAGCCACAAAGTCAGCACAAGGGCATTGGTTACAATTAGTTTTGATGGTGTGCTGCATCAAAACCTGCCTCAGGCAGAAAGTGTAACAGCGCCCAGGGGGATTTCTGCACCTCCATGCTGCAGCATTAATAATAATAATAATAATAATAATAATAATAATAATTTTATTTTCTGTTCTTTTTTAAAAATGTCAGTTTTGATAGTATTGGTGGGTCACCCCCCGCCCCCGGTATGCCTCTTTGAAACTTGTTTTGAAAAGAGAAATATAATGTTTTAAAATAAGTGAATACAGGAGGCAGGAGGCAGCCTATGGGAGATCTCTGTGCTTGCCAGTGTCACAAATGCCATGGCAGTTGAGTGTGGTTTCGTTAAGACTTGCAAGTCCCTCCCTGGCACATCTGTGGATAGAGTCCAACTATTTATTTATTTCCCTATCAGAAAAATAGGAGCAAAATGTACTCCAGGCAGGTACAAATGGCAAGACAAAAAATGTTTAAGGATTTATCTTGCTTAGCATTCATGCTTGGTCAACCCCATCAACCATCTTAAGGTTTTTCTGTGGTCTTTCCAGAGTGTGATCATGGTTGTGTTCAGCGAGGATAAAAACCGCGACGAACAGCTGAAGCATTGGAAGTACTGGCATTCTCGGCAGCACACAGCAAAGCAAAGGGTCCTTGACATTGGTGAGTGAGAAAGCAGTCTCATCCTGCGTACCAGATCCATGCTCACTGGTGCCTTTTTGTAACATTGGAGGTTTCCGGTAGGGGAATAAGTGCAGGCACCAGAAAGTTGTTTTTGCTGTAGAGCAGGGATAGCCAATTAGTGACCCATCAGTTTGCTGTTGGATCACCCCAGTCTGGTCACTGAATGCAAGTTTGGTATTGGACTGCCCTGGTCCAGTCGTTGCATTTAGCAGTGCTGTACTGAATTCATTTCTAACTTTATTGCTGACTTACATCATAGAACCCACTTGACTTTTGTCAAGCTTACATGTACATTTTCTCTTTTCTTGTTGCCTCTTGTTTCTCATTTTCCTCTCCATTCTCCTTCTTTTTAGAAATGTAAACAAAAGATAAGGATAGTAGCATTGCCACTATGACCTGCTTTAGATCATGTTGTAACTCACTTGTAAGTCCCGCCTCGTCAGCTGAAAACCCGCCTCAGTAGGCTTGCATTTCTCCCACATTGGTTTTTATCCCTTGTTCTGGCTTCAGGGCAATGAACTATCAGCCCATCTCTATTATTATTATTATTATTATTATTATTATTATTATTATTATTATTATTATTATTATTCCCCCCAGAAATGGGCTCAGAATTTGGGAGTAACCGGGGCATTGGGCCATCAGCCATTTTCTCTCACCCATTCTCTTTCCTCACCATGACCTCTCCCTCGCCATTCGAGCAGAATTGTACCCATTTTTGCTTTTCAGAGCAGAGATGCCCCGTGGCTATTCAGCTTGCCTAGCTTTTGGTCTCTTCCCCTTATTTATGGCAGTCTTAACATATTTAAAAGATACTGTCATACTGTACCCTCCCTTTCCCCTAGGCTATATTTGTATCAGTTGTAATCAGCCTTTCTCATAAACCTTTTGTCACATTTTAACTCTCAGTTGGAGTGACCTAAACTGAACAGATCTTGCTGTCCTATGTGAGTCAGAGCAGCACAACCTAACTATATATGTTGTCCTGGATATCATTTTCCTATTTAAGGTCGTGCAAGATGCTTCCACCCAAGAGCTATTAAGTGGGTCTTTTGTGCTTTTGCATACAATATTGCCTGTGATATTTATGCATGAATTTTGGGTGTGCAAAATGAGATAAAGATAAGGCACTTAAGGACCCGGGGCTTATCTGTACCACAGCTGTAAACTCTTTTTGGCTGCAATCTTGCACACTCTTAGTTGGCAATTCCCAGTGACCACAATTGGCCTTATTTCTGAGGCGATGCAATCATGTTAATTGTTATTCCCCCTTCCCAGGGAATCATGGGGAAATGTAGTTTGGTGAGGAGGCGTCAGGGCATCTTCAGTAAAACAAAAGGAATTAAACAGAGGTTACACCTGGATTGTGATCAACTAAGTGACACATACGTATAGATAGTGTAACATATTGTGGTCACCATAAGTGAAACTCAAGTGATGTGGAATGTGAAAACATGCCTGAGTAAAAACACAAAAATCTAAATTTTACAAAATGATCTGTGATCTGCTCTTTTTTGCAGCTGACTACAAGGAGAGCTTTAACACAATCGGGAATATAGAAGAAATCGCTTATAATGCCATATCTTTTACTTGGGATGTCAATGAAGAAGCAAAGGTAAGGCATCACCCCCCCCCCAGCAAACTTAATTGAAATGTACTTTTTCTTATTAGGGATGCAGGTGGCGCTGTGGGTTAAACCACAGAGCCTAGGACTTGCCGATCAGAAGGTTGGTGGTTTGAATCCCCGCAACAGGCTGAGCTCCCATTGCTCGGTTCCTGCTCCTGCCAACCTAGCAGTTCGAAAGCACGTCAAAGTGCAAGTAGATAAATAGGTACCGCTCCGGCAGGAAGGTAAACAGCGTTTCCATGCACTGCTCTGGTTCGCCAGAAGCAGCTTAGTCATGCTGGCCACATGACCTGGAAGCTGTACGCCGGCTCCCTCGGCCAATAAAGCGAGATGAGTGCCGCAACCCCAGAGTTGGCCACAACTAGACCTAATGGTCAGGGGTCCCTTTACCTTTACCTTTACCTTTTACTTGTACTTATTAGGGCTGCTCAGAAAATAGGATTTGTAGTCATGCTTGATTTAAAGCTTAGAAATATCTGGTTTTGATATTTTACTGAAATTTGAGGGAATTCTGACTTGGGAACTTTTTTATAAAATGTTACTTTGAAGGGCTGCTGAAATGTTCTCTTCCACTAAGGCTCCAGGAAACCAGCTGGTATAGAATCATAGAGTCAGAAGCGACCCGCAGAGCAGGAATCCTGCCTACAGCTGTCCCTGGGTGGACTTGAACCACTAACCTTCTGGTTAACAGCCAGATGCATTGCCCCATTGCGCCACCTGAGGTACTAGGTCAGATGGGCAGCTGTTCTTCAGAGTGTCAGACAGAGCTTTTCCCCCAGCCCTAATGCAAACAGCAAGGACAAAAGTAGAAATTGTGTGAACAGCTATTCAGCACCTATGGAGAAATAAATTTAAACCTTTTCATACAAAAATGGATGTTGATAATATATCCGTTTGGTAAACAAACCATCAGCAGCTGATAGTTGTAAAAGGAATTCTGGAAGATTCCTCAAATCTTGTGATTGGGCACTACCACAACAAGAACTGCATTGGTAATATTTATGGTAATGTGCATAAAAGTTAAGGTATTAGTGGGGGGAGACATACAAAAATGCATTATATTAAGGAACATTCCTTGCAAAACTATGTACATTAGTCAAAACTTATATAAAAATGTGTGTGAGGACTCTAAAAGTGCTTTTTACTTTATTTTTTGCTCCTTTTATCCAAGAAAGTGTTGTAATTATTGATACAAATTGTGAGGATTCAGTGACGGCCCATTTAACAGAAAGGAAAGGTGATCTGGTGCTGCTGCATTCTGTTTTGTTAGAGTAAATAAAAGCAGCTGAAAACAGTTTGGAACCAGAGGGAAAACCCAGTGACAATGTAATGCGTTGACCTTTCAGTAAGAGTAGCCATGACTGCATATAAGGAAGATAAACGTGATCCTTGCATTTCTGCATGGGATTTCCCGGGCTTAGGGTTGAAGACAGCCCATTGTGACACTAGGAGCAGAAGGACTGTCTTAATACTGAGCGAAGGAAGTCCATTTGCAGAAGAGTTCAGAAAAGCTTTCATTGATAGCCGGAGTGATTTTGGGCTATTGATGTTTGCTGATGAAAGAGTACATCCTGCTGTGCTTAGTGAGACAAATCCCCCATTGTGCGTGAGTCGTTTGCCTGCAGAAGAATGTTAGCATTTTATTGAAAAGATGTTAATAACATAGGAGGGAACCTTTAAAAGTGCTGGGCATAAAAGATAAAGGTAAAGGGACCCCTGACCGTTAGGCCCATTGCACCAAATAATAATAATAATAATAATAAATTAAACTATTACCCACTTCCTACAAAACGAATGGACAAACAAAATAGCCCTTAGCATGTGTGCATAACTTGCCTTCTTCCATCCTTCTGTAAAGCAAAAGGAAACATTACAAGAAACAGAGGGATGCTCTACTCTTACTGAAGCATCTAAGCCTGACATAACACACAGCCTGACATCATTACTCTGTGCATTTCCTCCCCCTGGATAACTCTAGCTTCACAGCATCCTCGGCCGGCCTCGCCGTTGTCAGTGTTTGTCCGCAGGGTTGCAGTTCAGATCATTCCTACCTGCAGATAAATGCTGGCTAATAGTCTTAACCAGAAATTGCAAGCCTGCCGTTGAAACGCCTTTTACTTCAATCAGCGCTATTAAGTTGCAGCCCAGGTCAGCCTGACCCTGGTCTCCATGGTATGAAGCAAATATCCTGCGGGAACCCAAGTCTTAGTAACCTATTGCCGCTCACAAAACAAAAATAGCAGTTGCCATTACGGTTTTTTTATTGGTTGAAAATGAAGTATTATCCTGGTTCGAGAAACACTGGTGGGATTTTACTCTTAACTGTCCCACAGTCCTTTCCAGCAGAGTTTAGGCTACTGTGAAGCATTGTCTGTGGGGCTGCCTTTGAAGACTGGCCAGAAGCCACAGTTAGTCCAAAACCCTGCTAGGCTGGGTTAGTCCAAAAACAAGCTAGTCCAAAAACAGGTAAAGATAAAGGTAAAGGAAGGTACCCCTGACCATTAGGTCCAGTCGCGGACGACTCTGGGGTTGCGGCGCTCATCTTGCTCTGTAGGCCGAGAGAGCCGGCGTTTGTCCGCATACAGCTTCTGGGTCATGTGGCCAGCATGACAAAGCTGCTTCTGGCAAACCAGAGCAGCGCATGGAAACGCCGTTTACCTTCCTGCCAGAGCGGTTCCTATTTATCTACTTGCGCTTTGACATGCTTTCGAACCGCTAGGTGGGCAGGAGCTGGGACCGAACAACAGGAGCTCACCCCGTCACAGGGATTCGAACCGCCGACCTTCTGATCGGCAAGCCCTAGGCTCTGTGGTTTAGACCACAGCGCCACCCAGTTATGGTAGTCCAAAAACAAGCTAGGCTGCTAACAAACCAGGCAATGGGCGGGTGGGGGGGAAGATATTTTTCCAGTGGTTCAACAGTCTCACTGGCTCCTTGTCCATTTTTAGAGCACAAATAAAGGTAATAGTGCTTGCCATTAATTCTCTATATGATTTGGGACCTGAGTCCCCAAGGATCACTCTGGCCACATTAGCCTGCCCATTACTAAGGTCATTGCAGAAATCGTCCTCTGGGTGGCCTCACCCTCTGAAGTGAGGGAGCCAAAGGTGGGGGAAGAGAGTGCTTCCATTGGTGGCATCTCACCTTTGGAAAGCTTTTCCCATGGAGACACCTGATTGTTCCGCTATCATCACCTGACATCACAAGTGAAGAGGATTATGGAGTGCTGTCTGAAAGTTTCAGCAGGAACTCCCTGTAGTTCCACCCTCTAACCAGCAGGGAACCAGTGCATGATCTGCCAAGGTCCTAGTACAAGCCCTGTAGTCCATCCCAAGAGGCCATATTGGTTTGGGAATTGATGTGAGGCTGGGCATTGTCTTTCTTTAAAAAAATAAAAATATTAATTTTCAACATTTATAACAAATATAACATATAAGAAACACAAAACGAAACACACTACAATACTAAAAGGAAAAAATAAATAAAAACAATTAACTTCTAAAATCCAAATTAACTTTCATTGTTATCTGACTTCCTCTAATCCCCCCTAACTGAATTTCATTGTAACACCTTTGTAACAGTTCTCCAAGATCATCTTTCTAATACAGTTAACTCCTCCAATTTACTATCTTCATCTCTTTTCTTATTGGCTTAAATACATATTACTATACAACATTCTTATTCTAATCCTAGGCCTATTTGATACTTTCAAGTACCTTCTAATTATCTTATATTACAATATTTACCTAGATAATCTTTAAATTTCTTCCAATCTTCTTAATATTCCTCTTCTTTCTGATCGCGGATTCTTCCAGTCAGGTCAGCCAACTCCAAAAACTCCAACATCTTCATCTGCCATTCTTCTACCGTTGGTATTTCTTGAGATTTCCAATTTTTAGCTAATAGCAGTCTTGCTGCTGTAGTGGCATACAAAAATAATCTAACATCTTTTCTGGGCAATTCCAATCCTATTATTCCAAGTAAAAAGGCTTCTGGTTTCTTAACAAATGTATTTTTCAACAACTTTTTCAACTCATTATAAATCTTTCCCCAGAAGTCCTTAACTTTAGGACACGTCCAACACATATGATAAAAGGTGCCTTCTTTTTCTTTACATTTCCAACATGAATTATCATTCGTATGATAAATCATTGCTAATTGTCGACCTACTGCAGCAAATAGGCAGAGCTTGCTAAAGGTAAATTCAGATGGAAGAGCATACATAGGTGGCAGTTTATGTAAGGGCACTGAACACGCATTGCCAAGGGATGTGACTACAGATTTGTCCCTCCTAGTATTCTTTGACATGTTTTGCAAGCAAGGGGGGGGGGTGGCAAGCAGATGTTGCAGCCATGGGACTGGGTTTGTGGAGAACTCAGTGGACCTTTCCAGGCCTGGAGGAGATTGAATGAGGAGGGACCAGAGGCTCTGAGGGAAGGAGGTACCTCATTTTAACACATGCCCTAACACCAGTCCTGTTTCCTTCATCACTTTTCTCCCTCGTTAGCAGCATAGAGCGTCTCTTTATTTTTGAGCTATTGTTGAGGCATTTAAAATGTGTTTTACTTAAGTGCTCAGGCTATTTTGCGGCTAATGTATGGAGGAGCATCTGCTTTGCAGTCGAAAGGTCTCGGTGTGGTGTAGTGGTTAAGAGCGGTAGACTCGTAATCTGGGGAACCGGGTTCGCGTCTCCGCTCCTCCACATGCAGCTGCTGGGTGACCTTGGGCTAGTCACACTTCTCTGAAGTCTCTCAGCCCCACTCACCTTACAGAGTGTTTGTTGTGGGGGAGGAAGGGAAAGGAAAATGTTAGCTGCTTTGAGACTCCTTCGGGTAGTGATAAAGCGGGATATCAAATCCAAACTCCTCCTCCCCCTTGGCTTCTCTAGGTAGGGCTGGAGAAAATCTGAAATTGGAGGGAGCTGCTGACAAGTCAGTGTTGGCGATACTGATCTAGATGGACCCTATGAGACAGCTTCTGACATTCCT